ATTAAATAATCAAATGCCTTTCATATATAGGTATTAATTGTATTAAACGATCAAAAGAGGCCGTAGTGTCCCCATATATTGAAATTTCATGCACCCACGGTACTCAAATCTCTTTGACCCGAAATCGTTCGTTATAAGTTTAGCCCAAAAAAAAAAAAAATGTTATCCACTTTTAATAGTCAAAGTAGCAATCTCTTTCCGCCGACAAAAAGGAAAAAAAATGGTATCTCTTTCATCTTTAGAAATTATGTACTTAAAGATTTCGAACCCACAGTATTTGATTTTTTTTTTTTTCTTTTGGCAGGAAAACAAAATTATTCAATTTGTAGTAAGGTTATTTATATCCTATATAATTAGACTACGAAATAAAATATCATTAAAAAAATTGAGACATAGAGAAGCTTTACCTTTAAATTAATAAAATTTTAAAAATACATATAAAATAGTTTTATCTAATAACTTTTTGATAAGGTGCATAGGGGCACATGCGGGTATTAATTCTCCAGCTAGACTCCCTACAATTTATAATGCTAAAAAACGCCCGTAGTTAAGTTCCCATTTGTGCTACTAATGGAATAATGATGCAAGAATTTGGGGTTTACAGTTTAGTGCTTCGTCGTGTATAAATTAGAGTATACATGTATAAAGAAATTAGTAGTTGTAGAAAAGGAAACCGGCTGTACAAGTAGAATCAGAATATCCCATTAAAAAAAAAAAAAAAGAAGATTCAAGTGTAATAATAATAATAATAATAATAAATTCATCGGATGAAGAGCCCTCTTACTGATACTAAGATTACTTTTTTATTTAATAATTTTTATTCTATAATTTAATATATTTAAATAATAAAACAAGAATCAATAACTTAAATAATTCAATGATAATTTTTTTCATTGAAAGTAAAAAATTTTAAATTTGAATCGTATGGTATGCAAATGAGATGTGATAAAAAATGAAAGAAAATTACCTTTCGTTGTGCAACTAATATAAAAAAAAAAGTAAAACTAGAAATTTTAGTTTAAAAAATTCAATG